GGAGGAAGACTCATTAACAACCTGCGATATGCAGATGATACAACCTTGCTTGCTGAAAGTGAAGAGGACTTAAAACATTTACTGATGAAGATCAAAAGGCACAGCTTTTGGTATGGATTACATCTCAGTGTAAAGAAAACAAAAATCCTCACCACTGGACCAGTAAACAACATTCTTATCAATGGAGATAAGATTGAAGTTGTCAAGGACTTCATTCTTGTTGGATCAGCTATCAACACTCACGGAAGCAGCAGTCAAGAAATCAAACGACATATTGCTGCACAAGATCTTTTTAAAGTGTTGAGGACTAATGTGCACCTGACCGAAGTCATGGTATTTTCAATAACCTCATATGCATGCGAAAGCTGGACAGTGAATAAGGAAGATCGTACAAGAATTGATGCTTTCAAGTTATGGTGTTGAAGGAGAATATTGAAAGTGCTACCCAACTTGATGCTTCAACAAATATATACAACATTGGAAGGCAGCCCTCACTTGTCTATGTCAAGAAATTTGGAAGATTATTACCTGACCAAGTGACTGGAAGAGATCAATATTTATGCCCATTCCAAAGGATGGTGATTCAACAGAATGCAGAAATTATCAAACAGTACCAGATACAATACACTTTGGCTGAAAATAATCTAAAAATGGTTGCAGTAGTATCTCAGCAGGGAATTCAAGCCAGATATTCAAGTTAGATTCTGAAGAGGATGTGGAAGCAGGAAAGCCAATGGTAATGTCAGATGGATAGATATTGGCTGAAAGCAGAGAATACTAGAAAGGTGTTTACCTGTGTTTTATTGACTAAGCAAAGACATCTGACTGTGTGAATTATAATAAATTATGGATAATATTATGAAGAATGGATATTCCAGAATACTGAATTATACTCACTTGAAACCTGTACATTGACCAAGAAGAAGCTGGTCCATCAGAACAAGGGGATTCTGAATGGTTTACAGTCATGAATGGTGTGCACCAGCTTGTTTCTTTTCACTGGATTTATTCAGTCTGTATGCTGAACAGACAATCAGAGAAGCTGGACTACATGAAGAAGACAATGGCATCAAATTTGGAGGAAGATTCACTAGCAACTGGTGATATGCAGTTGACACAACCTTGCAAACTTTTAGCTTTTAGTGAAGAGGACTCGAAACACTGAGGAAAATCAGAGCATACAATGTTCAGTATGTATTACACCTCAACATAAAGAAAAAAAAATCCTCGCAACTGGACCAATAAGCAACATAATAAATGGAGAACATATTGAAGCTGTCAAGGATTTCATTTTACTTAGATCAACAGTTTTGTTTTTTGTTTTCTTTTTTTTCATTGCATTTAGACAAATCTGCTGCAAAAGGGCTCTTTGAAGTATTAAAAAGCAAAGACGTCACTTTAAGTACTAAGGTAAACCTGAACCAATTAATGTCTTTTTCAATGACCTCATAAGTATGTAAAAGTTGAACAATGAAGAAAGAAGACTGAAGGGTGCTTTTTAATTATGGTGTCGGTGAACAGTGAATAAACCATGGACTGCTAGAAGAACAAACAAATCTCTGTTGGAAGAAGTACAGCTAGAATGCTCCTTAGATGGGATGATAAACTTTGTCTCATGTACTTTGGGCTTGTTATCATGAGGGACCAGTCCCTGAAGAACATTATGCTTGGTAAGGTAGAGGGTCAGCTAAAGAGAGGAAGACCCTCAGTGAGATGGATTCACAGAGTGACTGCAACAATGGGCTCAAACAGCAATGATTGTGGCGATGGCACAGGGCAGAGCAGCATTTCATTCTGTTGTGCATTGGTGGCCATGAGTCAGATCTGACATGTTGTTGTTGTTAAGTGCTATAGAATCAGTTCCAACTTGTAGAGACTCTGTATAGGGTTTTGGAGGAGCAGTTGGCGTGCTTGAACCACTGACTTTGTGGTTCAAACTGATCTTGCAGTTCAGTGCTTACTAAAAAAGATAAAATAAAAAAGAGACATTCAATTTATGTCAGAACCATTTATGACAGAATTGTCTGAATAGAGTCCCATCTTAATTGGGGACCACTTTAATGCCATTTAAAAAAACTCTTTTTTTCAGATCCTCTTTGGATGTATGTGCTCAAGATGAGAGAAGCAAAAGAATCTTGCCTCTGACGGTTTGCAAGATGCATGTTCTTGCCTGCCAGGGCAGAAATTACACTCTTGTTGGTGGGGAGAGATGTATTCCACCGGCCACAGCCAAGAAAGCTTGTGGAGCTTGTTCACTATGGGAAAACTGTGACGGTAAGAACATTTCATATTGTAAGTGTGAGACATTAAAAAAAAAAAAAAAAAAAGTAATTTCTAGTTTAGCACTAGATCAAAGTAGATCCCAGAGAATCTGCTGGTCTGAGAGTGAACTGTCTTTCCCCATTCTGTTCCATGGGGAGGGGGTGGATCAGGTTCCTTAAAGGCCAAGAACCACACTGGTGGCAGAATGTCTTCCCAACTTTCTGTGATTCCCATTCCACCTTCATAAATTTGACTCTGTCTATTAAGGAGCTCTGGTAGTGCAGTAGGTACGAATTGAGCTGCTAACCTAAGGTCAGCAGTTCGAAACTACCAGCTGTTCCGCGGGACAAAGATGAGGCTTTCTGCTCCTGTAAAGATTTACAGCCTCGGAAACCCTGTGCAGTGTTGCTATGAGTTGGAACCGACTCCACAGCACATAGCAACAACAACAACATTATCCATATTAGAATCCTGGTGTGGCGCTGTGGATTAATGTGCCAGACTGCAAAGCCGTTTGAACTGCAAGGTCGGCGGTTCTAGCTCACTAGCTGCTCCTCAGAAACCCTATACAGGGTCGCTATGGGTCAGAATCGGCTCGACGGCGCTTAACAACAACAACATTATCCATATTATCCATGCACTTATTTTTCTCTTTAAATGAATGTCTTAAGAAATATAACTTCATATTATTTCTAAATAACTTTATATTACTTCCTTAAGAAGAAAGCCAGTATTACTTGCCACAAATACTGTTGTTGTTAGATACATGGAGTCTTTTTGATCCATGCAGCAGAGTAGACTCATAATAACCCATATGGCAGACTGCAACTGCAACACAGGGTTTTCTAGTCCTTCTCCCTCCTACGAGAGACTGGGGTAGGTTCAAACTGCAACGCTTTTGATTAGCAGCTAAGTGCTTAACCACTACACCATAAATATTGTTGTTTCATTACACTTACCTAATATTTATGGTGTAGTGGTTACACCATAAATACTAGGTAAGTGTAATGAAACAAAAAATAAGATTTTAGATTTTCTAGCCAGATACGGCCGTTGGCAAAACTCTGAGTTTGAAAGATGGTCTTTCTTTGTACAGGCGTGGGGAACCTTTTTTGCTGCCAAAATTTATAACATAATTCATGGGCCATACCATATTGTCAACTTATAAATTAGTCTGCTATATTTGGTCAAACATTTAATTAACTCACCCCCAATGTGATGGCTATAGGATCATCACTAGTCTGCGAACCAGAAGGTCAGCAGTTCAAACCCACCAGGAGCTCTGGTAGCGCAGTGGTTACAAATCGGCTGCTAACCTCAGGGTCAGCAGTTCGAAACTACCAGCTGTTCAGCAGGAGAAAGATGAGGCTTTCTGCTCCCGTAAAGATTTCAGCCTCGGAAACCCTGTGCAGGGTCACTATGAGTTGGAACCGACTCCACAGCACAACTCAATAAAAACAATGTAATGGCTAGGGAGTCCTCATGTGGTGCTGTAAGATAAGCACTGGACCACAAGATCTGTTTGAACCTCAAGGTCAGTAGTTTAAACTCACCAGCTGCTCCTTGGAAACCCTATACAGGGTCACTATGAGTCAGAACTGACTCGATGGCACTTAACAACAACAATGTGATGGCTGGAACTGCGGTTGCCTTGGGAGGACCAGACCAAACGATTTTGCCTTATAGGGCTTGCAGGACGGCTGTTCCCCATCCCTGTGTTAAAGAGAGTTTAGCCATGAGTTTGTTGTTGCTAAGTGCCAACGACTCCTTTCTGACTCATAATGACCCTGTATAGGGTTTCTGAGGAGCAGCTGGTGAGTTTGAACCACAGGCCTTGTGGTTCAAACTGACCTTACGGTCTAGTGTTTACCCTACAGTGCCACACCAGGACTCCTTAGTAAGTATTGTTGTTATTGTTATATCCTTGTTGTTATGTGCCATGGAGTCGGTTCTGACTCATAGTGACCCTGTACAGGCTTTCCGAGGCTGTAAATCTTTATGGGAGCAGAAAGCCTCATCTTTCTTCCACGGAATAGCTGGTAGTTTTAAACTGCGGACCTTGTGGTTCTCAGCCTGATTCGTAACCACTACGCTACCAGAGCTCCTTTAGTAAGTGTTAGTGGGGTGTTATAAAACATACTAGTACCAAAGTGATACTTTTTTCTAGAGCGAATCAGAATTTAAAAGAGGATAGAAAATGAATTATTTTTTGTGTGGTGATTCAATATTTGCTAGTGTTACAGCCAAGGAATACTTCCAACGATCTTGAAGAAGGCATGGCATACCTGCCATGGTTTGGGCTATACTGTCTCCCAAGAATTTTATTTTAAAATAAAAGAGAAATGCTCAGGTTTGTTATGCATAAACTCACTTACTTTACTGCAATATAGTTATGGTACAGTGTACAGGTAAGACCCTAAGATACGCATTTAGAACTTGGAGAATCAGGATAATGTTAGGCCAAGAACTACAATCCAAATTTATAGCCTTCAGGTATTTACCTTTGATGAGTGTCCTCAGGAGGAAATCTTGACCAGTGGCTTGTCCTTAGTGGAAGTCTCTCATAGCTGAGGGGGTGGGCAGAGTCCTTGTCAGGGCTTCTGGTAAGTGTTAATCTCTAGGGAGGGTGAGCAACTGAACTGACAGAGTGCTGTGTTGCCTTTGCTTAGATCTCATTCCAAGAGCAAAATGTACAAGGTTTTTCTTTGGTTTAGTCCCACTGATTCTGTGTGTTCCGAGTTAGGTGGGAGGATTTTGGCTCCCGTTGCACCAGAGTAACTTGAGTCATCACTCCATGATCAGGGTGCACATTGGGTGTCTAAACATAAAGTAAGGGCTATGCCGTACCTGGCCTCACAGGCAAGCAGGAATCTACAAAGTGATGGCTGTGTACTGTTAAGTCGGTTCCAACTCACAGTGATCCTGTGTAGGGTTTCTGAGGCTGTAAACCTGTACAGGAGCAGAAAGCTTCATCTTTCTCTCACTGAGCAACTGGTAGATTCCAACTGCAGACCTTGTGATTAGCAGCCAAGCTCTTAATCTACTATGCTACCAAGGTTCTTTATACTACACAGTTTGCTGTTGTTGTTAAGAGCTGTCGAATTGGTTCTGCCTCATAGAGACCCTCTATAGGGTTTCCAAGGAGTGGCTGGTGAGTTTGAAGTGCCAATCTTGTGGTTCAAACTGACCTTTGAGTCCAGTTTTTATCCTACAGTACAATACTAGGACTCTGTAACACAAGGTTGTTGTTGTTGTTGTTAAGTGCTGCTAAGTCAATTCCGACTCACAGCGACCCTGTATAGGGTTTCTGGGGAGTGGCTGGTGAGCTAGAACCACTGACCTTGTGGTTCAAATCAACCTTACAGTCCAGTGCATTGACATGTAGCGCCACACACACCAGGACTCCACAATACAATGGAGCTTCATAAAATATTAAAAAGTATTTATGCCAAAGAAGTTGTTTGTCAATTTTAACTTGTTTATAGTTTAGTTTTACTGCTCAAGTCACATATTGTATGAATCCACCCAGTGGCTCTGTAGAAAGACCTTCAATGCAGTCACAAATCCTTCCCCTGGTTCCTGACCTCACAGGCAAGCAGGAATCTACTGAGTGATGGCTGTGTGCTATCAAGTCGGTTCTAAGTCACAGTGACCCTGTGTATGGTTTCTGGTTTGCAGCACTGACGCTACCCACATCCAGGGTCCCTCATGTTTTGGAAACACCAAAAATGTCTGGTTGACCTTGTTCCTTTTCCTTTTGGACAAACGACTGGAGTTTTCTAATTGCACAATTTAAGAACAGATTCCTTCCTCCCCAACTCATTCTGGTTTGTTTTTGTAGTGTATATAGTTGTTTGCACTTTCACACTCTCTCTCAAAACTAGTTTAATTATTATTATTATTTTTATATGTCTCTGTCCTTGAAAGGGGCCCTGGGTGATGCAGTTTGTGCTTGATTACTAATAAAAACATCGACTGTTTGAATTCACCCAGATGCACCACAGAAGAAAGTCCTGGTGACCTGCTTCTGTCACGAAATCTGTAGGGAACACTTCTAGTCTGTACCACGTCAGGTTGTCATGACTCAGAATGGAGTCTAAACGGAAATATATATATGTTCTATCTTTGACCCTTGACACTCAGCTATTTGTTGAAGCTAGGGTTTGAAAGACTTCTTTCAATTTTTGACTCACATTGACAGCTGCATGTATAAAAGCAAGAAGTCCTAGTAATGTAATGGGTTATGGTTGGATTACTAACCACAGGTCAGCAGTTTGAATCTTTCAGTTGCTCCAAGGAAGAAAGGGGAGACTTTCTGCTCCCATAAAGGTTACAACCTTGGAAACCCTACGTAGGGTCATATGAGTCAGAAATGATTCCATGGCAGTGTGTTTGGTTTTGTATAAAGAGAAAGGAACCCTGGTGGTGCAGTGGATAAGCAGCTCTGCTGTTAACTTAAAGATCAACCCTTGGAACTCTCTATAGGAGAAAGATGCGGCAGTTTGCTTCCAAAACACTTACAGCTTTGGAAATCCTATGAGGGCAGCTCTGTCCTACATGGTAGCAATATGTTTGCAATAAAGAGAGGGCTAGAGAGACTTGGACTTGGATGGAGCACTCTCATGTGGTTTAAATCAATAAAAAGTCCACGCTGTTCTCCAGACCTATTTATTATTGTTGGTGTGTGCCGCCGAGTTGGTTCAATTTATAGGTACCTTATACCTTATCCCTCAAATAAGGTTTTCAAGGAGCTGCTGGTGAGTCTGAACTGCTGAACTTGTGGTTCAAGCTTTACCCCACAGCACCACACCAAGCCTCAATTTCCTGGTCTTCCTGCTTCTCCAGAGTCCTGGTGTGGCGCTGTGGGTTAATACTCTGAACCACAAGGTCAGAGGTTCAAGCTCACCAGTCTCTCATAGGGTCGCTATGGGTCAGAATCTACTAGATGGCACTTAACAATAACTGCTTCTCCAGGAGAAGTTTATTATATCACTAGAGACAGAGTTTTGGCAATTCTTTAATCACCAGATCATTACTTTGGAAGTAGGTGCTTCACTCCTTCAGCTCCATGATATGCCTCCATGACATTAAGTCTCTCGTATTATTCTAGCTCAGAGCAGCCAGTGCGTCTGCCGAGAAGCCTTGGAGTGCAGCAAGGAAGACGGGTTTAGCGTTTGTGTGGAAGTGAACGGCCAGGAGCAGACGATGACAGAGTGCAAGGCTGGTGCCCTGAGATGCCGAGGGCAAAGCATCTCCATCACCAGCATCATGCCCTGTGCTGCAGAAACCTAGTACGCTCCTGGGTGCCCTTGTGGCCTTGCTCCTAAGCCAGCAGCCATGTGAGGCTGAATTAAAGCATGTGCATAACTAGGAGCTTTTACCTTCAGCCAACCTTTCACCTTAAAGTAAACACAACTCTGTCTTCTCCCATAATCCAGATACTCTTTTTCCAATTTTTGTTTTCTTATTTTTTTAATGTCAGAACTTGCCTTTGCATGAACCATCTGTGTGTTCGTGGAACAAAACAATGCTAACTTCTCTGGTCTTTAAAATTTTAATCTGTGAAATTAGAGGATTAGACTAGAAAAAAATTGAACTCTTCTATTCAGCCCTATGATTCTATTAAGTGTGGTTGATCCAACTCATGGGCCCGAACACACTCTGTAAACTGATCAGGGAAAAGGAAAGAATATGATTGCCTGATTAGAGTTTGGCTTCCCTGAATGAAACCGAATACAAAAAAAACCTGGTAGTGATCTCACAATTCACCATAATGAATCAAGCACCACATGGAAAGGTCCCAGACCTTTTTCTTTTCAGGAAAACTAGCCTCTAAAATATCATGCTGTAGTCATGGTGCCTGAAAACGAATACAGTTCAGTCTTCCCTTTGGAGCTTTTCTTTAGTATGTATCAAACATAGACTGTTTTGATGGCAGCATCAGTTCATACCCCAGCTATACATGTGATTGCATATTTGTGAAAACACTTTTTCCTAATGCAGAAACATGTCTAGATTTTTCAGAGGGTAACCAGGTAGGTTAGTTTGAAGTGTGGACCTTCTATTTATTCCTTCTTCATTTCTCATCAAAATAACAAAGCAGCTGTGGGAGGTGAAATGAGTGGGTTTAAATGCAATTTGAAATGTGCTGTTTTATACAAATAATATCTCTGTATTTTTCTTTTACTGACAAATATACTTTAGCAAGATTTTGGTTAAAATGACAGTGATTAAAAACTCATTGAAGATACTACTATTCTTTGAAATATATTTCATTATAGAGATTCTTTCCATGAGGAATGGGGTTGGTCACTGTCTGCTGCCTGAAGTTTTATGCTTGATTCAGATTCAGTGTTTTACCTTAAACTGTCCTTGAAAGAATTCAGACATAATACATGTACTCCTCACTGATCGACTATCTCGTTGCCTAACATTTTGCATTTACAACAATAGAAAAAAAAATCTATTATCAGACTGTTTCTAGCACTAACTAGGTGGTGGGCATGGTGGCAACCACTGTGAGCATCAGCTCAGCCTCTGGGAAGCTGGGTCATGTTGCCCCGCACCTTCTGCTGCCTTCTGCCAGCTGAGTCCATTTGAGGCCAGTCTTCTTTTTGTCTGCAGCCTCAGGCAGCATTGAACCAGTTTCCCAGCTCCTATGTAGTGTGAGGCCCTGCAGCTCAACTTACTAGGGTAGGAAGGGAGGAAAGATGAGATGCTGAAGAGGGTGTTTGGAAGAAATGCTTGCGGATTTAATTACATCCTGAGGTGAACCAAACTGGACTGAAGCTCATGGCTCTGTGGGGTAGATGGTCTGCTGTGCTCCCAGAGTACCCTCCCAGGGAATTCTGAGTCTTGGTGATTTGTTGAGCCCAGATGTCAAAGCAGGCTTTGGGATGGGAGTGGAGTCCTGGAGGAGGATCCACACTGGACGTTCTGACTGAGCAAAGAAGAAGATGAGGTGGTTAAGTCTCTAGTCACATAGCTTGCTTTTAGCCAGCTTTGTCTCTTCCAAGCCTTGTTCTATGCAGAGGAATAACTGGACTTTTCACAGTGAATCCTAGGTGCTATTTTTTCTGTGCTTTTATAAACCAAATCAAACAAAAATCAGGCAAATGGATAGTCTGAAAATAGAAAAATACTCCTTAATTTTCACATAGTGTTGATTTTTGCATAATGACCTACCTGCCCTTTGGCACATGAACCATGTTGGTGAGGACTGAATATATGTGAAAATTACAGGGGGAGAAGTTAAATTGAAAGAAAACTTTATAACATCAGACCATGCTTAATCGAAACCAATTGCATTTGTCAGCGATATTATGGAATTAATAAGCTCCCTGGATAATCAGATGAGTTAGCTTCAAGCTGAATTTGGCTAATTGTGACCCCTTGTGTTGCAGAGTAGAACTGCTCCACAGAATTTTCAAGACCATGATCTTTCTGAATCACATTGTCTTTATTCAGAGGTGGCTCTGGGTAGGTTCGAACAATTAACTTTTTGGTTAGTAGTTGAGCAAGTAACAGTTTGCATGATTCAGGAACTCTTTACAATCTTGGGGAAAGGGCTAGATTTGAAATCCCCAGGCTCAGATATGGACCCTTAGACAAGAGATTTGAGAAAGCAATTTCAGCAGCGTTAGAGAAGAAACAGAAGACTGATGCAACAATGAACTCAAACATACCCAAAATTATGAAAGTGGTGCAGGACCGGGCAGGACTTTGTTCTAGTACACACAAGGATGCCAGGAATCAGCGTCAATGTTAGAGCACTAACTACAACAGCAACACAGGGTTAATAGCTGGTAGGGAAGAAGGGGAGCCGTGAGTGTAGTTGTAAAGAGATACTCTCTTGAAAAACTAATATTTGGGTTTTTTTCTTTTCTGGATATTCTTGTACCCGAACTTTCATTGCATCAGAGATAGACATTCACATTATCTATGGGAGAATTAAGGCGGTTACAGCAGTCCTGCAGGAGAAAGAGACCCAATTTTAAGTTTTACAACATGCTAAAAAACTTTCTAAATAAATAAACATCTGAAGAGAAGGTTTTGAGGAAAGTGGAAGGTATGGTTTATGCCATGAAAATAGACTGGAAAAAGCAGAACCGGAACACGAACTTTCTCTCTATCTAATCCCCTCTGTGGAGTCCTGGTGTGGCACTAGAGAATAAAGCACTAGCAACTGCAAGGTCATCAGTTCGAAACTACCAGCTGTTCCGCGGGAGAAAGATGAGGCTTTCTGCTCCCGTAAAGATTTACAGCCTCGGAAACCCTGTACAGGGTCGCTATGAGTCGGAACCGATTCCACAGCACATAACAACAACAACAACAACTGCAAGGTCAGTTTGATCCACAAAGTTGGTGATTCAAATCTACCAGCCACTGATTGGAAACCGTATATAGGGTTGCTATGAGTCAGAAACAACTTGATGGCACTTAACAACAACAACAACAACAATCTTTCCCTGATGTCCCTAGGCATTGCAAATGGTTAACGTGCTTGCCTGTTAACCAAAAAGATAGCAGTTTGAGTCCACCTTGAGTTTCCTTGGAACAAAGACCTAGCAATTTAAAAGTCAACTGAAAACCCACTGGAGCAGGGTTCTACCTTGACTCACATGAGTTGATGTGTGTTCCATGGCAGCTGGTACTGCCCTAGGCTGGGTAAGTGTCACATGGACTAGGACAGAAGACAGCCTTGGAGAAGAAGGCAGAAGCAGTGCTAAGATTAAAGTCATCTGGAACATATGATAAAGAAGAGGGCGGGATTCGTTAGTGCATTAACTATAATGTACTTCAGGGAACCATGTGGAAGTCAAGCCCACTTAGGTGGGACTGCAAGTCACTGAGCAGAGCAGTTGCTTTACTAGGTCTTCTAATGCCATTTTAGAGGGTCTTCTTATGACACCACACACCTTTCCTAATAACTGATCAGCAGATGTGCTATTCATCAGTGACTTGAGACATGAGGAGCCCCATCCAAACTGCTCTGTGTGTAATCTCCCCATATCCACTCTCAGGACAGTTCACTGGACATCCCTTGAAATGCTGCTGATGTTGAGGTAGAACATGGTGGACATGCAGACTGGCAGGCAGAACTACCTGGACTGAGGTAACTGGCTAAATTGACTGAAGACTTTCCCTCTCAGTTGGAGAGGCCATGTTCCATCTCAGCCTCACACGAGTCCATTTACTGAGTAACTGCACAGGGCTCCAGTATTGGGCAACTGCTTTGTCCAGCATTCTCTGAAACCTCTGGCTCTCTTCCTACTAATATATAATCATTTCTTCTTTGGTTAAAATCAACTATGTGCACTATTCAATTATGTTGATTTTTGGCACTGTAGGATAAGTATTGTATTGCTAACCCCAAGGTTAGCTGTTCAAATCCACCAGCTGCTCCTTGGAAACCCTATACAGGGTCACTGTGAGTTGGAAGCAACTCAACAGCACTTAACAACAATGTAGTATCCTTTGTTTTATATTTTATTTCTATTCTTACTTAAGTTTCTTATGCCCACATATTCACCCATCATAGGCATTTAGATTATTTGTGGGACCAGCATAATAGCTGGTGGTCATCAGAACTTTGAAATAGACTAAGTACATGCTTTAGTTACAATTGAAATGGATGTTCATGTGTATCTGATGCTTCTCTTTCCCTGTTTTGATTGTGAGGGCACTCGGGTTTAGAGAGAGACAGAGAGACAGAGAGAGATCATTCTTAGGGGATTGGAAGAACTGCACAGTCACATAAATTCTGCTACATATCAGTCCCCTGGGACTTTTATTCCTTGGAACCAGTTTTAAAGTGTATTCTTATGCTAGCAATGGAATGTTTGCAGAACACTGAGCCAAAAAGCAACCGCAGTAGGAGGCAATTTCCGATAATACCTGAGAAACCACAGAGGAGTATGCATACCTTTCAATTACTTTGGTCTTTCAGGCATTTCACACATTTAGGGACAAGAAAGTTGATGGCATGATAGGAGCCCCTGCTGTGACAAGCAAAGTACCTACAATTTGTGTTTTTATTTATTCCTGTCAGACTCAGAAGGAAGGCTTTAGATGTATTCTCAAGGCAACCACCACTTAAGAAAATTTGCCTTTTCAGCTAAGGGTTAACAAGACCAGCTGGAAGACTGTCATTACTTTACAAGGGAGGTGAGGAGGTGGGCAGGAGATGAAAGAACATCAAAATGTTCTTTTCAGTATACAGGCTAGGAACAATTTCCTGTAAAAGGACAAACATGAAGAGCGACTCTGCTATCAATGTGATTCCTGTGCAA